ATCGCGACAAAATTGGACTCGTCCCCCCCCCCCCCCCCCCCCCCGTGCTTCCCTTACCCTACAAACCCCTTCGAACTTTCGCGTTAACTAACCCTCTCCCTAGATATTTTATAAAACTAACCTACCACGCCATGTGGGCTCCCGTCCTGAAGAAGGCAGTGCCACTGCCGAAACGTCGACGGACGTCAGGCCCTTTTCTTATTTTTTATTCATTTTTTATTTTCAATTCTTTATTTTATTTTTCATTTAACAATTTATTTTTGTAAGTTCTTGTGTGTTAACTTCGACTTTTACTCCGTCCTGTTTAGAAGTTTCTTTCCCGCGTAATTAGCGCTCCTGTGCCTAGTCTTCATTATTCCCGTAAACTAATACAACTTTTTTTCGGCACTTCACCCTTTTTTCTTGCGTGACTTTTTTCGCCATTAAACTAGAATTTTATTCTTTTCATCCTACGGCTGCTGTGTCTGCGCACATCACTTTTGCCCATATATCAACGGAAGCATTTGTCAACATTCGTCACTCTTTATATATATATATATATTGAGAGAACAATTAGACTGATCGCGCAAACAGGTCTACATAACTCACTAAACAAACCTTATACATTTAACACCGTTTGCATCAATATTTTGAATACAATTAGACATCCAAATTTATTTTATTATTTACAGAAATACCTGCTGCGCCGTTAGGCGTGATGCCGGGGGAACAAAAAACAAACGCATGCAAAAGACATTTTTAGTAATGCAATCGACAATCATTCAGTACTACATTTTCACTCGAGCACGCTTCTCTGAAGTCTGTGATAGAAGACGTCAATATTGATAACAGCTATCAGTTCTTCCGGAGGGGCATTCTACTCCCGGGAGTTCTGAACAAAAAATGAATAACAAAAACAGTCAGTACGATAACGATATTCTGCCGCCGTCTTAGAATGATTCCGCCGTGAAGATACATGGTGGGGTTCGAGTACGTAAAAACCCTTTTCAATGCCTGTTTCCCCGTGATATATATTGCGAAAGAATTTTAACCGCAAACACTTTTTCCGAAGTCTAAGAAGGTGCCAACCCAACCTGTTCTTCATTTGTGCTATAATCGCCTGTGACAAACCTTAATGCCTGATTTTGAATTGGCTCTAACTTATTCGCGAGGCGGATCCCAGATGACACAGGCATACTTCAAAATTGGTCTGATAAAAGAAAAATATAATGTTTGTCTTACGGTACGAAATGTGTTCTTAAAATTCCTCCGAATAAAAAATAACATCTTATGGGATATCCACACGAAGGAGAAATCCGCCCCATTCCCCCGCGGAACGCTGATCACGTGAGAACTACGTCATCCCTTTTTGACGCCTCGCGGCGCCGTTCGCCTCCGTGGCGGAGGCGCGGAGGCTACGTGCTGTCAGCACGTAGCCTCCGCTACGTGCTGACATATGGGCGGCGGAGCCGGGGACGGAGTTTACCGGGTTGTTGACGTCACGACACCCGTCCGCGGAGTTCTCCTTCATGTGGATACCCCTTTACTTGCCTTTGCTACAATGGTCATTTCATTCTAGATTATTATAAAAATTAACTCCCAAATACCTGCGTTTATTTACTCGCTCAAGTTCATAATTTTTTTTATCTTATATGTAACCGTGCTAACAATAGATCGAGTAAAACACATGTATTGGCACTTTTTTATATTAAAGCTCATTTCCCAATGATCGCCCCAGCGTTCTAACATTCCTAAATCTTTTTGCATCATACAGACGTCCTGCGTCATTTTTATAACTCTGTATAATACACAATCATCCTTAAATAACTTGATATTTGACTGTATCCCTTCGCAAATGTCGTTAACAAGTATAAGAAATAACAAAGGTCCCAGTACACTTCCCTGAGGCACCTTCGAGGTTACAAGTACAGGTGAAGATTTTTTACCATTTTGTGCGACACTCTGTTTTCGCTCAGATAAGTATACAGCCACCCAATTTATAATATTTTCATTTTTTTCCTATTAATATAAGCTTATTCAATAACAAATGATGTGGCACCGTGTCAAACGCCTTACAGAAATCCAAGAATATACAAATACTGTTTTTTGTTGTCAATGGCGTTTGAAAGGTAATGTGTAAATTCAGCTAGCTTGAGTTACACACGAATAACCACGACGGAAACCATTTGGGAGGGAGAAAAAAAATTACTGGAACTTAGAAAGTTATATCTTGAGCGATATAATATATGCTTTAAGAGTTTACACGCAACATCTGTCAGAGGCACCGGGCGGTAGCTTTGAACAAGATTTCTTGACCCTGACTTAAAGATTGAAGTCACGTTTGCTTTCTTCCAATAAAAATTGAACAAAAAAAATTACGTGGTCTCAAAATTGATGTTTGGCAGCAATTCATTTAAACTTTTTAACTTATAATAAACGTTTTCGACAGTAAGGAATCAACGTAGAACTTTGAGACGTCGTAAATTATATTCGCGTTCTGAAATTGAGAGCACGACAAAACCTAATATGCTGCCATCATAGAGTTATTATAATGCACGCTAGAGGTTCAACCGGCGCTAGTGTCTATGCGACTTCCGGGAGGAAAATTGAAGCAGACAGCAACCAGTCTACTTTTGCGGTGCTCCTGTGCATTCCTATGGGAAAAAGCTCATGAATTTTGTCTCTTCGCCGGAAAATAACATGAATAACTTTTCTTACTTTGGTTGTACCGGATAGTATGTACCTTTAGTAATATTGAAAAAGTGTAATTGCTTTAATTGCATCATTTTTCTTTACCATTGAACGATGTTACGCTACGCTATATTTCAGGCCCAAACCTCTGTTCCATGGCAGGTATGTAAAAATGAGCGACGCTTCTGAGCTAAATAACGATCAAAAGGAATGTAGAGTGTGTTCAAGGTTCGCTAGCATTCCGGTGGCGCTTATATATTGCTAATATGCCCGTCCTGTCATTCTATGAATATGACTCCGTCGTGCATCTTTACGATCGGTTAAAGACCATTCGAATGTAAAAAAATAAAGTACGTGGGCTACGATAGGTGGGTCTTTTATTATTTCCTATCTCAGGCAGTTTTTATCGGGCACCTGTTCTCTGAATTCTCCCTACTTGTAAAGATTTGAAGCGTGCTGTTGATGATTTGAACCCAGAATGATGCATCTTCGCACATTATCACGAGCAGAAAGAATAACTTATTTATTGCAAATCGAACTGTATTACGTGGCTTTCAATTTATTTTTATCGCCTGCATGCAGGAGGAGTTACTTATCCAGTGTTACTGCGTAGTCTTTGCCGTCTATATTGGTTTTCCACATGTCCTTCGTTCGTTTGACACGTATATCCCCCTTGGCGGAAAGCGCCGACGCCGTGTTCGCGCTAACAGTGTCCGACAGTGCACACAAATACATGTACGAAACGGTTTTAGCACCGTTTTTCATGCCACGAATTTCAAATAAAAGCGCCGTAACTGACCAATTATTTCGTCTGCGTGACTGAGAAATGTTCCAATGTGCCTAGTACGTACGAAATATTTGTGATATTTGCTCTTGTAATCGAGCGCAGCGAGAAAATGCACTCGCTTATTCCCATAGAAAAGCATTACCGGAAGTCAGTTTCGGACTGGTTGCTGTCTGCGTCAATTTGCAGCAGCACACTAGCGCCAGTTCAACCTCTAGCGTACATTATAATAACTCTATGGATGCCATAGCCCACTATATACTGAGAAACCTGGCAGATCACCACGAAAAGCGGCTGGCGAAATGGAAAAGGTGGAACGGCAGACAACGGATGAGAGAACGTCCACGTGACTGGCACACCGCTGCAGCGAGACGCCGAAAGACACTTCTCCCGAGCGAACAAGTGTGTTTTGGGTCCTCACCGCAGCAAAAGCTGTGCGTTGACGTTCATGCTTCCCGAGAAGCAAACGCCTGCTTTTCGCTTCGCAGATATGAAAATATAGCGTAACATTTTGTCCATTCTTTTCGTTACAAAGCTCGACGCCTTTTCACGGCGATGCATCCGCGGTGTCTAAGCACATCAGCTGAACACAGCTCACGCATGTGAACACGACCACTCCGTCACTCGGACGTATACGTTCGTCAACAATCAAATTCCTTCGACGAATATTTGAACTCGCGTTCGTGGTCAATGAGTGCAGCGACGGCACTTGTAATCGCTCGCGATTCACAAGTTCCATGCTGTGCTCAAAAAGCACACAAGAAGCTTGAAGTCATCGGTACCGGTGAAACACTACGTCATAACCACGTGATTTTTTTCAGTTTTTTTTTTTAATTGAGGAAAAAAGCTAAAGAGGAATAAGTTGAAAAATAATTCTAAAATTCCTTTGAAGGCGTGATTCGGCGTTTTCCTTATGGTCCTCAATTTGCCTGAAAATTTGATAAACACGTCAACAAACGTCGCTGGAAGAAAGACCCAAATATTGGGCAAAGAGTTTCGCGAAGTTGTTGAATTTACAATTTTGGTCCTCACTGCGTTTTTCAAACTGAAACTTTCTACTGTCAAGAATAAGAAAGTGGCGTGAGGGAGAGGGTAGGGCTTCCCTATTTGGACTGTAGACTTTGTTGCCAACTGATTATAAGCTGATTTATAGTGTCAAATGAATGCTTTGGAAACTCGCTCCAGCACCCGGCAAAGCAGCAGCAAGAAACAAATGCTCGGCATATCTATTTCTAGACTCCCTGCTCGACTTGCAAGCCCGCTTTCCCCTGTCGTTATTGCACTTTTTTAAAAATCGCGCGTATATTTGAGTGCTGGTTTTGGCATGATTTTCACTTGTCGATTTCACAATAACTGTTCTGAATTTCGTGATACTAAATAATATTCAAGAAAGGGTAAAGGCCGGTGATTGTGAAAGTATAGTTAGTTGGGAAGCTAAAAATAAAATGAATAGCACCGCATGTACGAAACTTCCGCGTTATTTCGAGCCGGCGTTCCTGGATATGCACAGGCTCGCAGTGATACTCAACTTTCGCTTGACTTGCAGAGATTCCCGCAAGCTCTTCATCCACGTCGCATTCTCCGGAGGCCTTCCGCGCCAAATCCGAAAAACTCCGCAACGGCCAGATGCGGAACTCCTTGACCAGACCCCACGACAGAGGTAGGTACGCGAGAAGCACGCAAAGAACCTGCTAGGTATTTAAACGCCCCACTCGTAAACCAGCTTCCGAACAACAACCAAGTGCTCAAAGGATCTTGCGTAACTTAAACATAATATACCTTTTTTTTCTCGAAAGAACGCGACATTGAGTAGTTGTTGCGCTAATAGATCGATATCACTAAGCGTTCTCCCGCATGCGTGTTTATAGAGTACGGTGAAACACCATCAAGTCGATGTGCTTCGAAACGTGCGTATTTCGTAGAATGCACCGCAGTTACCGTAGAAGCCGTCCCCCCAAAACGGTTGCGCGTCGAACGACGGTGGGCAACCCGTGGGGGGACAGAGGAGGTATTGCTCGTGCAAGCAGCGTCTATCGGCATTTCCGTGACTGGGTTTAGCTAGTAACGTTGGCTTGTATTGGAGAACGGGTCTTTGCGTCAGCGCTTGGTGAGAACTCGCGGCCGAACAAACGCGTCGTTTCCGAGAAATGGCGGCCGGGAATGTTGCCCGATGGGGTTTTAAAAAAAGGGTCGATTGCAGAAAACCCCGGGATGGGAGGGAGTGACGGGAATGGAGGGGCAAACACGAAGTCTCAAGTTTTGAGACATCGTGTCTTGGGGTTATTTGTAAACGTGATTCGTTTTTGGCGCTTGTAATTACGGCCTGATAAAAAATATTAAGTAGTTATTCTGTGTTGTTCGGGTGACATCTAAGCAATGACGAACGTTTGCACAGCGTACACACATAAGCTTCGCAAACGCGATGAAATAACTTTGTCATCCGCGCAAATTCAAAACCAGATTTGAGACTCGGCGCGAGTGCAGTGCCGACACCGCCATCTCTTGGCGTATACGCAAAGTTTTTGGCTACACAATTCTAGATCTTTCTAATTTATGGTCGCCGTCTACTTAAAAAAAAATAACAAAAAAAAACATGGTGGAGGTTGCGGTGCCCGACCTTGCAGTTGCCAAATCGCCAGCAAAATTTCATCGTGTGAATCCGGCTTCAGTTAATAAGAACGTCGAACATCCAATCTCAAGACAACTCACGTGCACGTGGTATGCCACGCCTTACGTGTCTTTAGTAGTCAGTGACTCTAAAATCAATTAAAAAAACAACTCAACCATATACAGGTGTAGTGTATTCTCAATGAACGCTTAAGAAACTCAGAGCGTGACTTACGTGCATGTTACACGGGCACCCTCAACCGCAGTTAACTCAACTTTAGCTGCTGCACACGTCACCACGGTTACCGTACTATACTCTCGGTTTGCTATTCCAGAAGAATTGAAGGAGTCCGCGTACACTGCTTTGATGGGTGCTCAAAATGCTGAAGCGCACGTGCGCCCATACCTTTTACTGCAGAGCCGCAGAATGTTGTCCTCAAGTATCGGGCGCTAACTGGGGCTTAGCGTAACAGCACTGAAGTGTGCCAGTGTAACAAGGCTAATATACTGTATACTAATTCCTCTTGCGTTGTGGTTTGTTCTTTACCTTTCTTATAAAAAAAAAACACATAAAAAACTTGGAGTGCCTCGCGTTTGTTAACGTGTCAGTGGCTAAGCTATTTTTTATGCGCTAATTTAATCGCACTTTTTTGTACAGCGATTCCGACGACGAGGCCACGTGACCTGTCGGAGTTGTCGACGGATCAACGGCCCTCCTACACCCCCGCCGTGGTGAAACTCGGAGGTGAGTCTTTTGATGCCTCATAGGATACTTTGATAAGGTATTTTCCTGTGTGAAAGCGTTAAGATGAGAAACGTAAATACATAAGTAAAAAAAACAAAAAAACATAAGATGTTAATAATGTAATGAAGCGTTAAAGTCTCTTGGTCTGTCAAATCTTCAAACATGAATATACGCACGCGTGGAAGCGAAGTAATTAGTACTGGAAATATATATATATATATATATTTGTTTTAAATTTTTCTAGTACATTGTTGTGAGTATTGCGCTTCATGCCTCATTTCTTTTCACTGAAAGCAGTGCCTACCTTTAATAATGCTTCGTGAAATTTAAACTCGGGAACTATATTACTGACTTCGGGGTATTGTGTAAAAATGCTAGTCTAGGTTATAATTTAGGGATGTAGCACGTGACAGGGGTATCTCGAAGAATTACTCGCGAAATAATAAAGACCTACACATTATTTTTTGGCTCACCAGTAAAAAGGAAATAGCCCTATGACATTTGCAGCGCTACTTTCAATGGAGTTGGGTGAAAAAAACGTTGTGGGTCTCGTACGGCAGACAACTGTGGAACTGTATACGAGGGTAATTTCATATAAAACTGGGCAGGCTAGAAGTGCTTAATTTTTATTTTTTTCGAACAGAAAAGATATTTTGGGGGCATTATTAAAATGAGGCCACAAAGCTGAAGCTTCCCGCATTTAGTTTTTTGTTATCGAGTTATGGAGACTAAAAGATGCTGTGGCAGAAACTAGCGTTTTGCCTTGCCCTCACTGGCCGTATCTTTGACACCCTCTGCTGCCGTAATTTTTTTCTTTGCCTCTTTTAAACTTTTTCTAGCCTCTAGTAGGTACTATAAAGACACTTTGAATAAAAGACAAATTTATAAGTTGTTTCAAACTTTTTTTTCTAACAAAATGGGAAACTGGCCTCCCAGGTCGATTTTTGGTCAACATTGACAGATCCTTACTTTAGTAAAACTGAAGGTAAATTATCGTTTTTTAGATCTATGAAAATCGCAAAGCAAGCTGAATATAAATATAATAATATTATTCAGATCTGTTAATTACCCATCATCTCGCTATCCTCCCGTAAAACGTGTATAAAATAACCAAAATTGCGTGTTTAAAATTAATTTTCTAAAAAAAATTTTTTTTTTTCAATTTGTTTATAATTTCAAAGAGACAATTTTATTCATGTCTAAGTTTTGAGTTATGAGCATCAAGTAGTCGGGCAACCAGTGACTTGACGTCGCAGTGTCAGTTGAAAGACGCATTTACAAAGCCACATCCGGCCACGTAACCGTAACAATAACTCAATATGCTCCCCAGTAACGAGCGAGCGTAATTCGGCCCGTACTCACCGTACGCTCTGTTCTAATACAGTTGTAATACGCGGCTTCACTTAGGGATCTAGCTTATGCGCGACACATATTTGGTTTTACAATCACTTCTACAAGAACGGACTAGAAACTTAAAAGACCACGCCAGTTGCTTCGAGGGCAGTCCAGCGATAGCCGTTTGTCAACACTCTTCCTGCCATTGAAGTGAAAAGTTCGCACCAGCGCATACACCAGGCAAAACAAGTTTCGAACAAAGCTCACAAGAGTAGCTATGAACAATAAAAAACACATTCGAAGACAGAAAAGGTATACGCGGCGTAAAAGCACCTCCGAAGTGGAGATTTGAAAAGCAGACATGCACAAGACCATAGCCTCCCTATACTCACAAAGCCTGGCATTTCAACGACGGAGCCATAGAGTGTCCGGTCGTAGATTTGCAGCGCGAGGATCTGGTTGCACAGAGCATCAAAGAGATATTTCTCGGGAACCTGGATGTCAGCGCACATATTTTGCAGCGGCGAAGACCCCAAACACACTTGTTCGCTCGGGAGAGATGTGTTTCGGCATCTCGCCACAGCAGGGCGCCAGTCACGTGGTTCTTCGCTCATCCGTTGTGTGCCGCTCTACCTTTTCCATTTCGGTGACCGCTTTCCGTTGCGATCTGTCAAGATTTGTGGGTATATAGGAAGACAAAACATCTCCAACGCGTTGTCCTATAAACTCAGTGCACCCTTGCAGCCAAAAACCCAGAATAGCCGCATTCATATGTCAACGCATGCACGTGCCACCTCCTGCCCTCAAAGTAGATCATCAGTGAGAGAGTGCCGGCATGTTCGAAACTGCTAACATGAACTGCATGGGCTTTGCACTTCGTTCACACGTGAGGCTGCAGTTGAAGCTACGTCCTCGTTGAACTATTCATACGCCTCTATTTCGCCGCATCATTACGATCCCGGCCATACCCGCGCGCGGAGAGCCGGGTCAGGTGATAAGAGGGAGGTGGCTGCGTGGTCCGGCGGGCACGCAGCTCCCACCATAGTCTTAGCTTCAGGGTGAACGAAGTATAGACAGCGCAAAAAAATAATTCACAGCAACATTGAACAAGTCCGATGATGTATTGCCTTCAAAGAATTCCATGGACTTTTTTTTTTTTTTTCGAACTGCTTCTGTGAGTGCACGTTCGTATATTATTTAGCTGCAAGAACCGTGCAGTCAACCGTCGGTGATCTCCACGATCGGAGGTGAACAAACATCCGGCGTTTATTTTCAGAAGTTTCATGTACGAGATTTGAATAGCATGGAAATTTTTATTTCCTTCGTAATATTATGGACAATCAGTATGCTCCCTCGTTTATTTTGAATCTTGATATAAATAAACAAAATCATGACATGTTGCGTGGCCTTCTGATTTAATAGACTTGCGACTCACTGTTTTGTAGTGTGCTTATATGTGCTGGCCTTATACAAAATTCAAAATTATAGTGAATATAAAATTTAATCTACTCTATGTTATTTTTTTTAACGTGACTAAAATATATGTTCCAAATCATAGAGACGACCAAGCACGCATGTTGTCTGTCCAACGGAACACTAATTTCACAAGATTGTGACTAAAATAAAGTAAATACAACCAAAATATGACATTTCTAGATTAAGTTTTCTAATAGTCTACTATTATATCTAAAACAATATAAACACAAAAAACATTTAAAAATGAAGTTTTAGAAAAAAATTTAAACACGCAACTTTTGTTATTTTATACACGGTTTACGCGACGATAAGGAGATGCCTAATTGATGAATTTGAATTATATTATTTTAGCTATAGTAAGCTTGTTTAGGGTTTTCTGTAGCTTTAAGAAAAGGATAATTTACCTTAAGTGTAACCAAAGCAGAGACTTGTTATTGCTGACAAAATGTAGACCTGGAAGTTCAGTTTCACATTTTGTTAAACAAATATAAAACAACAATCTTATAGAATTGCATTTTATTCAAAGTGCCTTTATAGTACGTACTAAATGGTACCAAAAAGTTTAAGTGAGGCAAAGCAAAAAAATTAAGGCAGCACAGGGTGTCAAATATACGACCTGTGACGGCAAGTGAAAATGCTAAATTCTGTCGCGGCGTCTTCAACGCTCCATAACTTCAGAACAACAAAAATACAAGAATGCTGCGGTTTGTGCCCTCTTTTAATTTAGAAATGCCACAAAAACATATTTTTCTCGCATAAAATAAATATTAGGCCATTTTAGCCTGCCGCATTAGAGATGTAATCACCGCCTCCTCGAATACAAGATTTACCGCTGTTACAATAAAAAGGTAATTTTTTTTTTACGGTGCTGAGTTGATAACGAAAAGTAACCTTCGCTTGTTTCTTGCAGATTTCCAAAGCCATGGCAACGCCGCATGCCCCAGCCCTCTTCCATCGACACTACTTCTAGTTGCTGCCAGCATTTACGCGACTTCCATTTTCTCGTGACCTGCTTCGAGGTCACGTCGTGTCCCAAACGCCCCCTGCAAGCTACCCAAATCGAAGAGAGTTCTCACAATGCTGCAGTGAAGTCAAGTGACAAGTCGGCACTCTACGCTGAAGAACGAACATTTAAAGTGCGTCAGGTGTTCTTCTCGATTTCTGCTAAGTGAGAAACATCTGAACAGTCAAAACTTTCTTTTTAAGGTTTTGTTTTGCGAATTGGTTTTTTGATGCGATGAATGACATACGGAATTGACTGGCATTACTCAAAAACTCTCACAAGCCCTTTGGGTAATCCAAGTGTGTATTATGATAGTCACACATTGTCCGTCTGAAGGTACCGCTATTACAGATGTGATTATTAGTTTTTGTCGCGAGTTACAAGTTTAAGAAATAATGAGCGCCTTTTTGACCATTCTAAGCCAAGATGAAGAAACGGGAGTGCATCGCAGGTATAAACAGAATGTGTCCAACATGGTGAAATATTTGCGTTGTTATTTTATACGACCACGTAACAATATACGAACCTTTGAGCCCACTACTCCTTTGTTTTCCAAACGCGAGAGGAAAACTGTGTTCCATGATATGATTCATTTATCTTGCCTACTGCACGAAAAAAAAATTATGTTTTTGATAACTCGAACGTCGAGAGCATTCATTTAAGTGTCCGTGAAGGCTGGCTGGGAACAGCTTATTTGAAGTTGCTGAAGTCATCCAGGTGTTTTGAAGCATGTCAAGTCGCTGGACGTTGTTCAAACGGGCAATACAAAATTGTTCCCAGCATTGTAAGCTGTGAGAAAAAAAAATGCTAAAGCGATGGTAGACACAACGAAAGTTTGCAGCGGTAGGTAAAATGAAAAAGGTAGGCTCAGCGAAATTTCGTCTTCTGAGTAGTCTTTGAAATTCGTAATTGGGGATTTAAGCGCTGCCCCTTGTATCACGAATCCCGTGTCTTTCTTTCGAACGACCGCGTGAATGACCGCAACGGGGAAACACCCTCAACCCTTGTTTTTAGAAAGCTATCAGCAACTCAAGCAAATGAAGAAATCGTCACCTGTTTGGTTGATTGTTCGGTCAGTCGGTGGCAGATCTCATAAAACTTGATTTCTTATTTTTGTTTCTTCCCCCATTTTCGCTCTTTTGTGTCTTGCCTTTGCTAAAAAAGGCTACCAGTACGCGCAGATAATTATCCTTCCAGTTTAAAACAACCCCCAGCCAGAACCACAACAACCACCACCACTAACAAACTACCAACTGGGATCTAAAAAGTTTCGAAGGTTTGAAGTTGGGACTGCACTGAGTAAAGGGGTGTTTGCTGAGCGCACTGGCTATGAAAAGCGCGCTGTTTATTGCATCAGAAAAAAGCTCAAATATCGGTGCCAAATAAAAAAAAAACGACGGGAAACGCTGACGCTTCTACTCGATATTCATGAAGAAGTAGTGGTTTTCACGGGGCGTTCCTGCAGCTGCCATATCAACCACGCTATTTCCAGCACGTTATTTTTTTGTCTTTTCGCGTGCAGCGCTAGAAGTTACGAAATCGTAAAAAAAAACATGTCCACCCGAAAGCATGACGATGCAGTTATTCACACTACTAGTGTAGCTCCGTAGATGTGGCCGCCTATAATCCCCAGGAAATAGCTGATACGCCGATGTGAGAATGAATGCCCCAAAAAGCACGCCGTGAGTAATGATCAAGGTGCGTAAGTTAACAATTTAGACTAATACAAAAGATGGCGCGTTTTCGACTGATTCCGTCTCCTGAACGGGTGTTTTGTTTGCCCTGATCATGGTTTCGAGAATTATGCTTGATCGCCTTATTTACGAAGGTCAACTTGCAATGCCGTCGAATAGCCTCTGTTGCGTCGGATATCATTTTGAAATTAGGCACTTTTTTAAGACAAAACAGTATATGTTTAATTAATCTCATCGACTGCGTCTGTAAGAAAGTAAAAAAAACTTGAGTTATTATGTTATCTAACTAACATTTTAAATATTAGTATTTTAAATTTTTTTTTACAAGAAGAAAAGTTTAGCCCGCCGTCCCAATAGGATGCACTGGTTGTTTGATTTTATTGTTTTATGTGAAATTTTATACTCATATTCTTTGGAACACCTATTATATAGTTAATCGAAATCAGTGGATTAGATACGCGTTTTGAGTTGGCGGAAGAATTATAACAAATCAAGTGATAGCACAAAAACTAATTTTTGTTTGTATATTTTTATAAACGACATGCTTTATATGGTTACGATTTGCAAAGTTTTCAGTTCATTTCATTTTATTGTTTGTCAAGAAGCTTTTGTTAATTAGGTATAATATTTAAACATTTGAAGAGTTCGACCATTTCTGATAACTTTAACATTCGCTTTTACAAAGCCAGAGAGACAACAATTACCCTTCTAGTGACCTCGACCAAACTAGTCATCATATATGACTAGAATTATCGCCGACGATGCGTTGATGTTTCTTACGTTTTGCGTGTTCCTGCAAATTTCATGAAGGCCAAAGCGTTCTAGCATCTTTACGGTAGCGTTGTGTGGTGCTAAGATGGTCGCTGATCACCTTCCCTCATTCCCAATCTCTATCCAATGTCTCCCCATCAAAGAATCCCGTAGAGCGGTGGTGTCCTTCCAAAACACCGCTAGAACCTTCATCTCTAAAGAATATGTCAACAAGACGTTGTCACTTAGGCCAACTCACTGGTGGTTTACGCATAAGTGTTGATCGAGGTACTTCAACAAAACGGACGCCAAAAAAAGTGAGGAAGCTGAAAAGGATATAATTCTGTAGCCATCAAAATACGACATACCAAAAACGATTAGACGAGATAAATGTTAAACTTCATTCCCTTTAAACTCGACCGTTCGAGGAAAACGTTGTCTTGTTTTGATATCAATTTTACATCAACTGGGCGTTTGATACAGTCGTTTCAAGAAGTACGAATGTTCTGTCGGGTTTAATGTGATTAAAGCTTTCCAGTAATGTCAACTTGCTAAAAAAGATTAAAGATTATAAAAAATCTTGCATTTGGTCATATAGGACCTGGGGTATCCGCATCAAAAGTTTGAGTTTATATAAATTATGGCATTTGTATTACTATAGGATTCAAACTAATAATAATTTCATGTCAGTAAAAAAGATATGTCATAATTAGGGTCCACTCTATTGGAGAAACATGGCTCGTGCATAAATAAATTAAACCCTCCCGTATTTTTGTTTTAATTTCATAAAAATGAAATTTGATGTTATATAAGTATGAAACGAAATATTATAGTGTCAACGCAAGCGTGATTACCTGGTGGTACACCAGAATTATGATAAATTTGTTACAGTGCTTCCAATTTGTCCCTAAAAAAACGCAAAAAAATTTTTTAAATAGCTCTGGATGCCGTAGTGTTTTCATCATGACTCGAAGCTCGGTTTACATCATCTACATCTTTTTCCGAGAACATCTTCATCATTTCTGCGCGCGTCAAAAAGACGACGTCATTTCTTTCATGTCTACAGAAAACATTCAACTAGCGGGTTTCGACAAGGACTTTGGTTTGTGTCCCTCATTTCTGTCACGCGGTCAGCTCTTGTACATACCATTGTAACCAATCGCGCGACGCTCAAGGATGTCTGAGACGACGTCCACAAGCGAGTAGAGACTGTGTACATACATTCATGTCGTCATCTTGGGAGATTTTTTTTGAAGTGCCAAAAACTGAACATCCCGACGGACGTACAATAAAGGGTGTTCCTTTTTTTATGCTAACCCATAGCAGCGTTCCTGTCATTTCTCTAGAATTGGAACCACAACTCTGCACCACCTTGGAATCATTTCTCTGATGAGTCTTTTTTAGCATAAAGAGTGGTCCCGGAGGAGGAGGGGGGGGGGGGGGGTGTTTAAAACTTATTTGGAGGTTAGGCTGAATTCTTCAGAAAGGACTTCCAGAATCCAGAGAGGACTATTTACATTATACAGTGTAGAGTATGATTTTGGGAATTCAGGACACCGGTGAACTGCAAAAAGGTATAAATTTCTGTTACCGCCAAAAATATGTGGTTATCAGTTGTTGGCTTGGCACGGTTATCAATACTTCGCATGCGCACAACTAATTTAGACAATTATAGCTTAGCGGTTGACCACAATGTTCAACACTCGCGTCAGATATGGGGACGATTCAAACTTTTAGTAGTTTTACTTTGAATCGAATGAGACACAGCGGTGGCTGAAGGGGAAGGTCGTATCCCTGAAAATTGTCGCTGATATCCAGAAGCAATTCCCAAAAGGTAAGAATAGTAACAAAAAAAAAAACGTTCCATAAAAGTACGAACATCTTGCGGACTGCCAGATGTTTATGTAAAATGTCAGCACAAGGTTTGACACACGACATTGGAACACAGTATCTTTTTTTTTTAACCTTCAGATGGCAGACGTTCAGCGTCTAACCGGTTACCGGCCAGGCTGACATGTGGTGGCTATGAGAAGCCTTCATCAGCGCGCCGTAAAAGTTGGCTATTAGTAACGACCCCATAAAGATGCAATTCTTCAATGAGTTCTGGCCGTTAATTGCACATTCCTAGCGACCCTCAATGCCCGTTATTCATGAACAATGGCACGATAATGTTTTCAATGAATTAGTAGTAATTGCAAAAGAAATAAAAAAAAACGACAATTGTTTTAGAAACGATTAGTCTAGCCTTTGTTTGAACATAGCGTTCGTAGAGGATGTTTTTGATCGCGTGTATCACCTGTGCGAGAAAAACATATCGCTTCACAAAACGCGGAACTAATCCAGTCTTTTAACAAAAATATACAATCTTCATGAGATAGGAGTTACTTTTAACGCGTCGTACTTTGGTAAATGATTGACCTAGCTCATTTGGCTTATCTCGCACAGTATGGTGAACATGGTTTCGTTAATAGGAGATATTACCAGGAGGCGTCAAATGTATCCTCTGTAAAACATTCCAAATCT